TGATGTATGCAATGTGGTGAAGAAGCCAGTATTTAGGTACCTAATGTATTACTAAGGAAGTCTGCCACTGGTGAAAACACAATAAAGTGACGAGATTTCCAAGGATCCACCATGAAGGACGGTTTAGTATCACTCCTTTTTTAAACATCTTCGGTTGCAGAGAATGAAGCCCAAGCATTTTGGAGGCAACAGTGGTCTTTTTTCCTTTCTTTATGAAGAAGCTTCGTGCGCAGCCCCTCTCACCACAGGGATGTCTGGTAGTTAAACTTGATCTTCAGAAGATACTTCAGATTTACCTGTGCTACATCATACACGATGTACCTGAGGGAGCACGGTTAAAGAAAACAGGTGGTACAGATGATCAAAAAAGAAAAAGTTACAAATTAAGCTGAAAACACAAATACCCTGACAATTTATTTTGTGGTGACTCCTGTTAGGACATAAACACAACCCTTCAACTGTCTCATCTTCATGTCTTCACTGCTATAAGCAGTGCAAATGAGTCGATTTATGCATGACAGCTGGGTGAGCTACACAATGAAAAGTAGGTTAGACAATATTCACCTATTAAAAGATAGAAAGCTATAAAACTATGTTTCCATGGGTGAACTCACTGGTCTTTTATTTATTATATCTTACTTGTACTGCATGTTGAAAGTGACTTAACTTACCTTCCCTATTGTAAACCTCTCTTTGATCTTTGATGTGTAAATGCACCGAGTTGCTGCTAGGTGACCGGATCATTAGATTTTGTATTAATGACAAATGAACAGATACACCTAATGAAATGGCCGGTGACTGTAAGATAGAAATGTAACAAATTTTACTCACCTTTTTAACTGCACAGGTTATGTACAGACAAGCAGGTAAAAAAAAAAATCACTACACATATAACCAAACAAACTAATATTAGAGGATACTCGTTGTACAGCAGACTTGTGTCATCAATATTAGTGTGGACTCCTTTTCCCAGAGGCACTTGCACTCCATTTAAAGTGACAGTGGCATTTGGATCGGGAGCAGTTCTACCCAAACCTGTAATAAAAAAAACCCAAAAGTGAATATTATATGCACACACACACACACACACACACACGCAGTTTTAAAAACTGACAGAGACAAAGGTAAATATTTCCAAGGGGGATGAATTTCATCACCTTGTTAAGAACTACGCTGAAAAGCGTGGATCTAAATTACAGTTAGGGACACAGACTAAACAGAAATACAAAGCTTTAAGCACAAAGTTTGCCATGTAAACCAAACACTTAGAAAAATAACACCAATTAAAACGCTGCAACCCAATATGCCTCTCACCTTTAACACTGTGCTTGCCCTTAGGTAATTTTGTAATATGAGAAGCCTTCTTCAGTTCATGCCTGCATTAGTTAAAAAGGAGATTGAAATGATGGACACACTCAGGAAAAAAATGCAAAGGATGAAATATATATTTTTTTGCATTCAGACCGTCACTTACATGTTTCCTAGAGCAACCTCGCCGAGCAGAATGAGGCCCACCGGATCTGACTGGGAGGTATGGCAGTAGTTTGCACTCTTGGACACCATGTCAGCAAAGTACACACCTTTGCCAAACATGTAACCAGTCTGGAGAAAATTAAGCAGGACTGTAATGTTATGCAGGACTAAACGCTAGAAACTATGGGTAAAGTTGGGGTATTTATTAGAAGGAGAGGTTTTTAATTCTTCACATCTTATCATCAAGCTGGTTTCAAAACAACACTCACCACTGGGGCCTCTGGAGGGGCGATGCGGAGACCCTGAGACAGAATACCGGCGTAGTTGGTGGTTCGAGAGCCGTGCCACAATAGCTGGCGATTGTGCAGCTCCTCGAATGGACGGTATCGCTGGTGCTCTCCCTCTCTGACAATTTTAAATATCTAAAATACAGAAACACAATCAGAAGACAAACTAAGATTCCAAATCTATTAAAGCCATTAAAATAAAGCGCTTGTCCTGCTTAAACCCATTTTTACCAAGTTAATCAATCAATAAATTAAGAAAAAAAGAAAAAAAAAAGACTTGCCTCTTGTACTTCCAGTGTGTACGTGTTGTGTGTAGCAGCGTGGGTGTTCTTAACGTATTGCACGATGATCTCAGCTTCACTTGTGGTCTTGTCAACAACCTGTAAAGCAACAGATGTGTCACGTGCATTTTTTTGTTTTTAAATTTCAAAACTTAAATTTTTGAAATTTAAAAGCAATCATCAGGGCAAAAATGAAATCTTGCACTCCGTTGATGATTAAGAACAAAACTTTACTCTCTAAAGAGCTGTGCTCCTTACCTCAATCTTTGTCTTGAGTTTCTCATAGTTTATGTCGATGGGGTCTTTCTCATTGTCCTGGGCTCCTCCTCTCAGTAAGCTGTAAGCCACTTCAATATCCAACAGGTTGTCCAACATCTGAACTTTGGCCTAAAACAGTGATGCATTTAAAGATCAACCTTTTTAAACTCTGCATTAGGCTTAGTGTATGACATGACAAAGAAAGGTCAAACTCTAGATTGGGCAGTTTATGAATCCTTACTTGAATGTAGTCCAGGTTGTTGAGCAGTGGAGGCTTCTTCATGCCAAAGTCATGAGGTATTAGGGTATAAAAGCGATTGGAGAGATCCAGTATCTGCGCCTCAGACACACACTCTGACACAGCCTTTAACAAAAGTAAGTTAAAAATGTAAACGTTGCATGATCAGGAGCTGCACAGATCTCATCCAACCACTGGTACAGAAGGACTAGTTGTTATGTCCAAAATTCATGCCAAACGATAGTATTAAAATGGATTTCAAAGCATTACAGAGTTATATAAAGAGGAATCCAACATAAATACCGATGCAACTCTCAGAGGAGCTGTTGACTGTCACTGACCTGCTGTACTTCAGTGAGGAGCGCATAGGCACTCTGGATTTGCCTCTTGCTCAGCTTACCGAGTGGCATCTTCTGGAGGTCAATCTGCAGACAGAAGAAGAATAAATCAACCTGCCAAGTGCAAAAATACTGGTGGATACCAGTGCTACCCCTCAGCATTCTAGTAGGTCCAGTATGGTATCATTTTCAAAATCCTCTGTTGCCTTGTTCTCAAGTTATGACATTCACAACCTTGCGTTTCAGTGCCAGCTGCCCAACGCCCAGCAGGGTCAGCCTTTTACAGCTGAGGGGTAATAATAAGTAGTAATGCTCACAGAGCACTTATCATTATAAATTAACTAATTGTATTAGAAGAGTTATCTAATCTGCTGATAAAAGAAAAAGCACTTAAAATGTTGTCTTTGTGAATGAAGACAAGTATTCTCATTAAATTGTTTAATCTCTTAAACATCAGTAAATTATTTTTACGTCTGTGACAACAGCCTAAAAAGTCAAAAACTAAAACACGTTTACATTTATCCAGACGTTAATCCACAGCATCAGACAGGATTTTTTTGGTTACTTTAATATACTTCTTAAATTTGTACATCTAAGTCAAAATATTACTGTATACTGCATAGGTTTTATCCATCTGACTTGAATGAATGAACTTGCAAAAATGTGAAGTAAATACCACATCGGGCAAAATGGTAAAAATAACCCAAAGAACTGGAAGATCCTGATTTCAGTGTGTGGTAGGCAAGTCTTACCTCAAACTCGACCATGGCCTTCTTCATGCTTTCTACATCAAAGATCATCTTGATTAGCTCCTGGACAGGTTTGGCCAGCTTTGACTTGGTGCCAGCCGTGGCTGTCAGCCTCTTCACTGCCTCCTCATCCTGCACAGAAACACAAGGGGTCACTAAGAAATTAAAAATCCCCAACATGTCAGACGAGATGTTGACTTATTACTGTGTATGTGTACCTGTCCGTAGTCAATCTCCAGCGGGTAGAACTTATTGGGATATTTGGTGAAGTTGGACGAGCCCCAGTCATTGCCCGTCTTCTCCTTGTACACACCCAGGAAATTATCCAGAGCAGAGTTCTTGTCATTGAATTTGTCCAACTTGTTTCCTCCAATAGTGGTACCCACTCTGCCCCATGACCTGAACACCCAGTACCTACACGTATGCCACAGAGGGAAGAGATACATGAGTTAGTGTCTGGATAGATAACATTTCCACGAATGGGGGGGAAATGGTAAACAATAGGCAAAGCCTAACTGCAGCCAACACAAAGAGGTCCGATTACCGTTTCTGTACATCATCCTCAAGAAGCTGCAGTTTATAGTAAGAGTTAGTTCCTCTGACAATATCCACAAGACCGAGTGTAGCACTGTACATCTTCCCATTCTGCTCCAAGACATGAGCACTGTTCTCCAGACCTGGGAAAAAAATAATAATTAAAATTGTGGGGGGGCGGGGAAAAAAGAGAAATGAAGCATTCTCAGTCCATGGTTCTAATGACTACCTGAGTCTGGATCCACAGCAGCTCCACCTTTGACTGTGAGTTTCATCTTCTTGGATTTGCTACCACCTGTAATGCCACAACTGTTTAATGTATGCACTAAATGTCACATTGTATACCGCCACAATTGTTCTAATGCATGCATTCAGTATTTCCACATTAAGTGCCCTTTACCTTCCTCCTCTTTCACCCTCCCTGTGCTCTTAGTAGCCAGTGTTCCAGACTTGGAGGCCACAGATGGAGCCTGAGCTTCGACTTTAACCTCTGCCCCCCAGGGGGAGATGGCGTGCAGGGAGACCAGCTCCTGGAGGGCTTTGCCCGATGACTTGATGTCAGTGAGGAAATCCTCAGAGACCACACGCACGCCAGCGTCCCTTACTTCTTCCATCTTCTTACTCATCTTCTCCACCTCCTCTGTCAATACATGGCAAAGTTTGATGTTATATCAATCCTTTTCTTACTGAGAGTACTTGTGATAATTTTAAA